AAAAAAAAAAAAGAAATTAGCTGGGAATAGTGGTGCATGCCTGTAGTGCTAGCTACTCAGGAGGCTGAGGCCGGAGGATGTGGTGGCATGCACCTACGTGGGAGGATCACTTGAGCCCAGGAGGTTGAGGTTGTAGTGAGCTTTAATTTCGCCACTGCACTTTAGCCTAGGCAACAGAGGGAGACTCAGTCTCAAAAAAAAAAAAAATTCGAAATGTAAAAATTCACTAAACATAAAGAAATGCCAACTATTTATGTTTTAATTACTTAAAATACGTTTCAGGCTGGGCGCAGTGGCTCACACCTGTAATCCCAGCAGTTTGGGAGGCTGAGGTGGGCGGATCACTTGATTGAGGTCAGGAGTTCAAGACCAACTTAGGCAACATGGCAAAGCCCCGTCTCTACTAAAAATACACAAATTAGCTGCGTATGGTGGTGTTTGCCTGTAATTCCAGCTATTCAGGAGGTTGAGGCGATAGAATTGCTCAAACCCAGGAGGCAGAGCAGTGAGCTGAGATCTCGCCATTGCACTCCAGCCTGGGCGACAAGAGGAAAACTCCATCTAATAAATAAATAAATAAGATCAATTTCAGTGTATTTACTTATATTGTCCCACATTTTAGGTGGTTCTCATATTTGCCTTTCTAATTATGACAACTGTTTTCTTGTGTAGGTATTATCAAAACCAGTACCACTGCGGAGAAAACAGATGAAGAGGAGAAAGGTAATTATTCTTGGATGCCCTTGGCAAGAGACAGTATGACCCAGGGCTTGCCTTCCTGGAGCCAGAGGCACTCCAAGCTATAATATCCAGGAGATGAGAGGAATCAGAGAAGGAACTGTCAGTGAGAGGAGGAGAACCAAACAAGGCCTGATACGGTGGCTCACGCCTGTAATCCCAACACTGTGGGAGGTCGAGATGGGAGGACTGCTTGAGGCCAGGAGTTTGAGACCTACCTGGGCAACATAGTGAGACCCTGTCTCTACAAAAGATTTTAGAATAAGTTGTGTGTGGTAGTGCACACCTGGACTCCCAGCTACTTGGGAGGCTGAGGTGGGAGCATCACCTGAGCCCAGCAATTCTAGGCTACAGTGAGCTATGATTATACCACTGCACTCCAGCCTGGATGACAGTGAGACCCCATCTCTAAAATAAATAAAGTGAGACCTATCAGTGTGGTGGTTTTTCTCCAGCCATGCTTGACTGCGCAGGTGCTAGTGTAGAGAGGGAGAATGAGTGGCTTCATTAGGGTGAGGTTTGCCAGATGAGTGTGAAAATCTACTGGTTTCTTCCTGACAGAGGACAGAGCTGCCCAGTCCTTACTCAACAAGCTGATCAGAAGCAACCTTGTCGATAACACAAATCAAGTGGAAGTCCTCCAGCGGGATCCAAACTCCCCCCTGTACTCAGTGAAGTCTTTCGAAGAGCTTCGACTGTGAGTATTTGCTCCTTTCAACAGCTCTTCCTTGCTAATCTCTCCCCAGTAAAACTTAGCATCTCAGCGATTCTTGTGATAATTTTACAGAGTTAGTGTATTTTCTTCTTTGGAAAGAAGTCACATGAATAAGTCACATGATTCATAAGTCAAAAAGTACAAAAAATTTGCAGCATTAATCTCCCACCCTTGTGTCTTGGCTACCCTATTCTCTTGGTAGGAATTTTCAAATGCCTCAAATTTATTCATCATAGCTAAAAGTCTTATTTCTTTTATGCTCTTAGAACTTTCAGTAAAATAGTGGCTGACAGGTGATTTCTGGATGTCAGGAACATTTCTGATTAGGTAAGCCCTTAAGTGAGAATATGTGCTATTTGGTTTAAAAAAAAAAAAAAAAAA